GGTGAGGAGGATGATTGATTAGGAAAATTGAAGTTGAGTAGGCATAAAAATCGAGTTGAAATAGAAGCTTTGGATATGAGTGTGAGAGCAGTATCATCAATGCACATTCACTCTCTTAGGAGCCACTTTTTTTTATGAAGAGTGTATGGACATGATTTCTGGTTGGTAAACTCGGTAAGAATTTAAAATTTCTCATTCAATACTTAGGTTTGAGTCTCTACGGTCCACAGCTATGAAAGTTTGGTGGGGCTAAACTTTCTCTTGAGCGTTCAAAGTGCGGTAAGATATCGTTAGCGGATTTGTGGAATGATTTATCTGCATTTCTATTTTTAGTACCAAAAAAAGAAAGAATGCACCTGGTTTTAAGAAGAATTTAACTTTGAATCCTCGGCGGAATAACAACTTATCTACTTTTCTTTGTATATAATTAGGTTATTGTTTTATTGTAATAAGGATTCTCATTTCTTTTTAGATTATTTTCTTTCTTATCCTTTTTTCTCCTTTAACATCATGGCATTTCCATTAGACTATGCAAGGAGTGTTTTCAACTTTTGCTAATATCTATATCTGTACTATTTTAAAATATCAGCATATCTAAAAAATATTTGTATTTCAACTGTACCTCCAACAATGAAAGTATTACACTCTTATCTTATCCTTCATTAATATTTAATTTTTCTTTAATGATAATCTAAAATCAAGTTTGACTGTCCAAATTGTTTGACCCCACAAATTCTACTTATGCGTTACTATTTGAACGAAAAAATTAACAGGCTCCCATCTTCAATACTTTCTTTAATTTGCCTGCGCGGTCCTGACCGATCTCTGTTGTAGTCCTCCATTGCCCAAAATTATCTTTCTTTTACTCCCCCTCCCCCTTCCCCTTGTGGAAGACAACCCTCCCCGGTCTCTCTCTCTNGTAGTCCTCCATCGCCCCAAACTATCTTTCTTTTACTCCCCCTCCCCCTTCCCCTTGTGGAAGACAACCCTCCCCGACCTCTCTCTCTGTCTCTCTCTCTCTTTTCCAATACCATTGAACACCTACACTCCTCATTTCCCTCCAAACTCTCTCTATGTTTCTCTTCTCCCCAAAACTGATTTATTTGTGTAACATTTGATTTTTAATTTCATCTTTGAATTGGTTGAATTCGATGGCTGTGTAAATCGTGCAGCAATGGGAATTCTGTCAAGCACTCGGTAATTCTTTGGCACTTCTGCTCACGGTAAACTCTCTCCCTCTTTCTCTACCTATGAGCTTATGTAACTTATGGATATAGGGATTTTCATGGAAGGGATGAATACCATTATTATACTTGCGACGTAAAAGTTAATTTTTATGTGATTTATACTCGTCAAGCTATGATGAGAAGTAGTGAATTGGATGTGTACAGNGCACTCGGTAATTCTTTGGCACTTCTGCTCACGGTAAACTCTCTCCCTCTTTCTCTATCTATGAGCTTATGTAACTTATGGATATAGGGATTTTCATGGAAAGGATGAATACCATTATTATACTTGCGACATAAAAATTAATTTTTATGTGATTTATACTCGTCGAGCTATGATGAGAAGTAGTGAATTGGATGTGTACAACATTTTGGTGACAAGAGGGTTGAGGATGTTGGCTCTAGTGAGGAAGAGATTGATGATAGATTTCAAGAGACCGCAACATGATCTTCTTGTTGGCATTAGTGGAGCGACCAATGACAATAACACTATATACTTGTATAATTGTAATAATAGCATTTGAATGACTTCTGGAATCTCTAACGGTAAGTCCCAGTTTATGCATCTCTCCTATCTCATGCTTTGTTCCACATTTCAAAAGATTAGTATATAGGTGTATATACTAACGATAGTTTGTGGGTTTTGGCTCAATTGTTGAATTGGGTTTATTTTTGCAGATANACATTTCAAAAGATTAGTATATAGGTGTATATACTAAGGATAGTTTGTGGGTTTTGGCTCAATTGTTGAATTGGGTTTATTTTTGCAGATGGAGTATGCTTGGGAAGGCACCCAAGAAAAGTGATTGCACAAACCTGTATGGAACTCCTGTTGTTTTCAAAGAATGTTGTAGGATGATTTGAAGAAATCAAACAGAAATAACATCCAATCAAGAACCATCCTATTACTAAAAAGGTATGCAACTGCTATTCTTTATTTTATAGATCAGATCAATATATATATATGCAATTGGAAGTCTTGTGGATACTGCTATCTTTGTATGTATTCAATCAGAAGAAATGACTTTTTTATGTTTTTTTCTTCAATGTTACATAGCTTGACACATGGCACTGGTATGGACACAATCTAGAATTGTATACATGTCTAGTTCAAGAGTCAGAGCTCACAACCTTTCTCTTGCTTCTAAATATACAACTAAAGAATCCTTTCATTAAATTTTTTAAGATTTCATCCAAACCAAAGTCTTTTCCCTATTATTTTCATATAGGTTAATTGCTTCCAATGTGTGAAAATGAAGGTTGGGTCTTGGAGATGGTAAAGAGGTGAACTTTGAAAAGGCCCCTAGGACTAAATTACGAAACAAATGCATCAAAAATACATTGGGCCATTAAGTATGTAAAAACCATCATTCTTATGGTTC